ATATGTTATGTTTATTTTTTGTTTACCCAGTTCTTGCTTCAATTGGTAGTTAATTAAATGAAGGCTGGTTTTATTATTATTATTACCATAGAGAAAGCACTGAAAATCAATTTTTTTTTGTTATTAAAAGTAATATTTTTTATTGTATTTTGTACAATAAAAATAAAAGAATATTGTCAAAAATTTTATGGTGTCTTTTCACAAATAAGGATTTTTACTGGTAACGAAATTATGGTTCACTGTTGAAATAGAGGTGGTTCAGTGTTATACTACCTATAGTACACAGTGGGCCAATTTTTTTAAAACTTTATTTACGGTCTTTATTCTTTTCTCTCTCTGGCTTTCTGTAACCTGAATATGAGAAACTGTATAAAATTGCCTAAATCATGACACCAAAACGAAATTATTAACTTTAATTTCTAACAAGTTATATGACTTAGAAAAAAGGTTGGTTCACTGTTCAACAACGCACCCTATACCTAGTGGCGGATTAAAGGGCTAGAGGGGGCTATAGCCCCGGGCCCCACCTTGGGGAGGGGGGGCCGCGGTCTCGAATCAAAAATAAATTTTTTAAACCTGTTTCAAAGAATTTTGAATAAAAGTAAAATGGTTTCCAAAGAAAATAAGTTAACCAAAATTACCTACGATTTTTAATTTGCCATCGGTTAACTATTTGTTGGCCAACGACGGGTGGAAATCTGTGATGAAATAACGAAATAAGTGGTATTATTAGTGAATGGATTGGGAAAAACTGCGGCTAACGCTGCAGCAGTGGCGAACGGTTTGGGGGAAATTTCTACCAGAGAATGTTAATGTTTATCGCGCCAAAAATTTGAGTTTTCTTTTTTACTTATATAATTTAAATAAATTTATATTTATTTAATAGAATAGATTATTTAATAGAAATCCTAAGGAAAATAAAAATAGAAAAATTAAATCTGTTATACTATTTATTATTATTTTTTTCACTTGTTTATCGCTATAAATAACTTTGAAAATGCGGTTAAAAAGAAAACTATAAAAATATCGTATCAATGTTGTAAAGAGTACGAGGACCTCACCAGATCGCCAGTAAACGAGGCAGGGACGAAAAAGGGCTAGATAGTGTAATGACAGAGAGATATCTCAGATATCTAGGCGATGCGGGAACGAGTCTCCACGTCGCAAACTTTTTTGCGTTTTCCCGTCGATCCAAAATAAAATATATCGATCGGTTCACGGAAAATGCTGCAGCGGCGCGGCGCCGCCGCTATAGCAGGCGTCAGCTATCTACCGCGTATTTTAATTCGCGGAAAAACAACTCCTCCGCGCGAGTCTGCAGAATGAGGGGAGCCATCGCAGTCGCGACGTTTGTGGTTTTTACTTGCGAACTAAATAAAGAAAGGTTTTGTTTCTAAGATTGGTTTCGTGAATATCAAAGTCTCTGTTTCTAATCATTCAAAATACATAAGAGAAAATATCCAAGTGGGGCAGAAAAACGCAAAGTGAAAAAAGCTAGAGAAAACTCAGTGAACGAGCTGCCGTCTGTAAGTGATTTTTTTAAATCACATCAGACTAGAGGAGACTCCGATGTAGGGGAAGTTGAAAAAAAGTGTGATTCTGGTAGTGAAAGAAGTAGTATTGATACACCAAGTAACAGCAACACGGGTATTTTAAACTATGATAAATATTTATATATATAAAACATATCGACGCCTGAGTGCAAGAAAGCAGTATCTTAGCCGCGGCTTGAGGAAGGCTGTATCTCAGCAGCGGCTTGAAGAAAGCCGAATCTCAGCGCGAGCTTATATTTCAGACTTTCCTATGTCAATTCTATCCCAGATGCGATTGATTTTCTGCAAGTTTGTTAATGGTAGTTTATCACGCTTTTAAAAGAACCCAGGACGACCACAATATATATATATATATATATATATATATATATATATATATATACCTATTCTATAAAAAAAAAAAGTCATAAGTATTTTCACACAGTAAAAACTTTTCTTTTAGAATGCTGGCCACAAAAAAATTTATAGAAATCGAATTTCGAAATGTTCATGAAAATAAAACGGTATACTTTTTAGAATTTTACTCATTTTTAAATATGGAGTGGACGCTTAAAGAAGACCGTGTTGCAGTTATTGCGTTGCATCGTTACGGTTACGCGCCAATTCAAATTTTTGACATACTGAAAAATTTTAATAACCAAAAGATTCGTCTATTGTACCATCAAACGATACAATGAAGACTCTAGTGTAGATGACAGGTCAAGAAGTGGTCGCCCTCGGTCTGTTAGTACTACAGCAGTGATAAAAGCTGTGAAGGCGCGAATTCAAAGAAATCCCAAACGTAAGCAGAAACTGTTGGCCCTTCAGATGGAGTTAAGCAGAACCACGGTGAAAAGGGTGTTAAATGAAAACTTAGGGCTTCGGGCATATCGAAGAAAAACAGGACATCGTTTGAACGCTCGTCTAATGGACCTGAGACTGAAGAGATGCCGCGCTTTGTTGAAGCGGTACGCGGGAAAAAAATATCGGGAAATTCTTTTTTCGGATGAAAAAATTTTTACCGTAGAAGAGAGCTACAACAAACAAAATGATAAGGTGTACGCACACAGTAGTGAAGAAGCGAGCAACCGTATTCCGTGTGTCCAACGAGGTCATTTTCCATCCTCGCTCATGGTATGGTTGGGAGTTTGTTATTGGGGCTTAACAGAGGTACATTTTTGTGAGAAAGGTGTAAAAACGAATGCAGTTGTGTATCAAAATACAGTCCTGACGAACCTTGTGGAACCTGTTTCTCATACCATGTTATTAACAGGCACTGTGTGTTCCAACAAGATTCGGCGTCAGCTCATAGAGCGAAGAGCACACAAGACTGGCTGGTGGCGCGTGAAATCGACTTCATCCGGCACGAAGACTGGCCCTCCTCCAGTCCAGATTTGAATCCGTTAGATTACAAGATATGGCAACACTTGGAGGAAAAGGCGTGCCTCATCCCAATTTGGAATCACTCACTAGCAATGCCAGCTGCTCCATAAACCCTGCGTTAGCGAGTGACATAACTGCAGGTAAACATGTTCTTTTAAATAATATGAAAATCATGATATTATTAAAGTATTAAATTTAAAAAATAACTTAAGCGTTGATTATTAATAAAGTTTCTTTTTAAAATTTATTTGTCATGTATACTTGATTTTTAATATTTGTAGATGTGCACAGAGATCCTGCGTTATGGCCTTTGAGATTGCAAGAGAATAGCCACATACGTGAAAAATATTTACAAAAAGGCTACGCTTTCTTTCAAAATAAGAATTCTACGTTCAAAACGTCTAAACAAGAATATACTAAGCAGAAGTAGATATTTTTCGGCTAATTATTTTCATCGAATTTTACAGAATGGAGAGAAATGCGAAAGAAAGAGGCTTATGTTTTCTGAATCCAGTGGATCGATTTTTTGCTATGTTTGCGAACTGTTCTCAAAAGATCATGATAATCCATTTGTAAAAGAACGATTTTCAAATTGGAAGAAGATAGACGAAGTCATTTGTTCCCACGAAAATAACAAAGATCATAACAGCTGTATGATGAATTATATTGATCACTTGCAAAAAGATTCCAATATAGAAAAAAGTTTTATAAACACGATGGAAAACGAAGTTCAATATTGGATTAAAGTTTTAAAAAGAGTAGTTGCAGGCATTCGATTATTAACCGAACGAGGACTTCCACTTCGAGGAAAAAATGAAGTAATAGGATCACCTAATAATGGGAATTTCCTTGGCGTCATGGAATTGATTGCTCAGTTTGACCCTGACGTAGATGAAGATGACGTTGTGACTAGGATTAAAAAAGGAATGCTTCGGTGGTTTGGTCACGTAGAAAGAATGAACGAGGAAAGAGTGACAAAGCAAATTTATGTTTCAGAAGTGAACGGCAAAGTCGGGAAGGGACGCCCTAGACGAAGATTTATCGACCAAATCGGCGATACATAGAAAATGGGTCAGATTAGGAGTATCCTTAACCGACGAGCGTGTATGCGTAAATATATGGATGTAAAGGAGACAAGAGAAGTGTGTCAGGATCGCGCCAAATGGAAGTCCGTAATCTCTGCCTACCCCTCTGGGTGACAGGCGTGAGTGTTTTCCTTTTCTGGAAGAGCACATTAAACGGTATGCTCACAAAGGCAGTGGTACAGTCTCTTATTTATCTAAAACTATATACGAAGAATTTATAGAGTTAATGGCTGCAAAAGTATTAAAACGTGTTATTGATGAAATACACAGTGCAAAATATTGGGGACTCGTCGTAGATTCTACCCCAGATATATCCCACATCGATCAGTTGTCAGTCATTTTCCGATACCACTTAGATGGTCACGTTTATGAACGTTTTTTCTGCTTTTTACAAATAAAAAGTCATAAAGGTAGGTCGCTTAGTAATGACGTATTAGATTTACTACAGGAGCACAGTATCGACATTAAAAATTGCAGAGCTCAGACCTATGACAACGCTTCCAATATGTCCGGTAAATATATTGGACTTCAAGCTTGTATTAGAGAAAAAAATGAATTAGCGTTTTACGTGCCTTGCGCTGGCCATTCTCTAAACTTAGTGGGAGAATGCAGTGTCGATGTGTGTCTTGATGCTACAAATTTCTTCGGAATTTTACAGCGGCTATATGCATTTTTTTAGTACATCAACACATCGGTGGAACATCTTAATCACTGCGAATTCTAAAATAACCAGCTTATCGGAAACGAGATGGTAATGTCGCGGAGACGCCACAAAAATTGTAGTAAAGAGTCATGGAGGTATTTGTAGGGCTCTAGAAATTTTAGCGAATGACGTAGAACAAAAACGCCGAACTCTGAAAGAAGCTGAAGCTTTATTGAAAAATAAAAAAAACTTGAAAATATTTTTATGGCGATTCTATGGAATAATGTTTTAAGCCGCTTTAACGCGACTAGTCAGTACCTTCAAAAAGTTGATACAGATTTAATTTCTGCAAATAACATGCTACTTTCATTAGTGGATTTTGTGGCAGATTTGCGAGATACATTTTCAGACGTTGAAAGTCAAGCCAAACAACTAAGTAATTTTGTGGATCAAGAATATTCTGATGCAAACAAACGAAAGGTCACAAGAATGCGAACCGACAAAGAATCACAAGCTAGTAGCTTAAGCCCGGCTGATAAATTCCAAGTAAACACATTTTATGTGATTATAGACAAATTAGTTGCCGAGTTGCAGAAACAGAGTGAAGCACATGATCTCATCATTCAACTATTTGGCTTTCTCACACAATTATTATTTATAGAGACAGATGTATTAGAAAAAGAAGTAGCAAATCTCGTAAAGGTTTACTCTGACGATATAGAAAAAGATTTATCAGTTGAATTGAAACAATTTATTTCATGTTTAAAAGGGCAGCCTAAGGGCTTTTTTCCAATCGTACAGAAAAAAACACAAGTGCAAATGATGAAATATTGTGGTCCCTTGAAAGTTTTAAATTGGCTTGTAGATTTAGACATGATACAAGTTTTTCCGAATACCTATATTGCTTACAGGATACTACTTACACTTCCAATCGCAAATTGCGAATCAGAAAGATCATTTTCAGTTTTGAAAAGAATAAAAAACATTTATCGATCAACAATGTCAGACGACAGACTATCATCTTTAACAAGATTAAGCATCGAAGTGGACTTATTGAGATCAATTGACTTCGATGACTTAATTCATGATTTTGCTAGAGCAAAATCAAGAAAAAAATGTTTTTAATCGAATTTTAAAATAATTGTTTGTACTTCATTGTATCTATAAATAATAGTTTATAATAAATAATTTATAATAAATTAATAAATGAATTTTTTTTTATATTTAATAAATAGCCTTTTTCGCTGTCCTTAAGTGGGCCCCTTCTTAATTTTAGCCCCGGGCCCCATAAAGTTCAAATCCGCCCCTGCCTATACCTACTGTTATTAATTATTACGACCGTAGTATGCTATGCCACAGTAATTAAAAGAAACCTGTTATTGGCCTTATTATAAGAATAATATTGTTTAATGTAAACTAAAACGCTGTTGGTATCTAAATAAAATAAAAAGACGTTAAGGACCCGCTACACAACAAAATTAACCAAAATAAAGCAATCTACCAAAGATGGTTGCTCTTCTGACGATGTCCATGTACCAACTCTATACTGGTTCAAACGTACAGAATTTTTAAGCGGTGTATGTGTAATTCAATGATCATAAATTAAACTAATTCCAAGACACACAACGTCATATTGAAAGAAAAGAGAAGGTGAATGTTGTTTTCTATGTCATTCCAGCTAAGCTGTGTGAACATAGAATAAAAGAAAAATTAAGCATACACTCCAGTGAACATTCTTTCCAGTGAACCGTCTGATTCCACCTTAAATGAAATTCATCCACACAGTCTCTTAATTCAAATAATGATGACCACAAAACCCCACTGTTTACAATTCTAAGTCATTTGCAGTTTGATAGTCTTTCACTTCCAAGGGCATATAACCGGATTCAGAAAGATCTTCAAGCTGTGAGGTACATTTTTCTAATTATGTTGTTCAAGATTGTAAACCTTACCATAAGCAACTCTTTGACAGAATGTGTGAGTCAGAGATGGAAACATAACTAACAAAATGCCAGGTATAACACCAGAAACTAAATCTGTCCTGTTTAGCAAACAGGAGTTATACAGCAGCATCTCGCTGATAACAACTCACAATTAATAAAAACTGCTGTTGCCAACTTGTCGAGCGAGGCAAATATGGCAAAACATCAGGCAATCTATGTAGTAGGCCTATGTTCAGTTGACTTTTACAGGTTGTAATGAATGTAATGGTTAATACCGTGGACCCTCCTGCAAGAAACTGCTCCAGAACTGCATTTGACTCAATAGCCTGTTGTTGTAATCTTCTGCAACGAATGAGTCTTGCATGACAGGTGAAACAGACAATTATGGGCTCCTCATTCTCATCCATCTGAAAATATGAAAGTTTGTAATAAATATGGAAAACAAATCAAAAATCAATGGCTACAACAATTCTCTGCATCAACATTATCTTTCTATAATATATATACTGTACTATGAAGTAAGTTCTAGATGAGTTTGGAATCGATTATTATATCTCATAAGAATATTTTCATATTTGTAGGGCTGCAGCATTTTCCTCATAACAGGTCAGAATATTAAAAACAAAAGTTGTCAACCCGTTTGCCTTGCATGGCAACTACTGCAAATAATAATAAAAATACAACAACCTATATTGGAATATGCATTCTGAATTATATTGAGTTACTGGAGAAGCCATAAACCAATTTTAGAACAGATTGGATAAACAAATAAAACAAAAGAACTACAGATTTGAAACCAGAATATAGGCTTATATCGTTTGTATTAACTGCTGGGTTGTTAAATTATTTTTTATACAATAAGGGTGACAACCGCATACACAGTCCAACTGGTGGTAAGTGAATGCTGTGGTCTATAGACATCTACATTTATCCCCAAATAAAAATCAAAATGCAGATGTGTTGTCACTCCTGAGGACTAAAACGGAAAACCTCTCCTCCATTAAAATAGATCTCTACACTCTGGTATTCTGTGAGAGCATGGTACCACCCCCATTGCGCCGACCCATCCCAATATAGCTGCAGCATGGCTCTACAACATTTAAAATAATGATAATAAATCCTAAAGACAGAATTTCAGTCACAACGGATAGCGTGGAATGAGGCACAGGGTATCTTTTTATGGCACAGGCTCAGTAAATTTGAGCCCGCGGTTTCCAACACGTGTTAAAGCAACTAAGCCTCGGCGTCTCTACTAGTACTAGTTCGTAGGTACATAACATATTACTTCAATAATAACACTGATTTTAGTGCGACCCAGGATTTCAGGAAAATTGTTGTTTTTCAAATTCTGGTTGTATTTGTCACTTTATTAAACGCTGCACTTTAGCCTAGCCATGATCAATCGCGTTTTATATCGGGCAAGTTATAATGTATTTTTCCAGCAATAACAACAAATTACCGCAACTGCAATTTGCAATATTAAGAAATCAAAAACAACAAACAAACTTACAAATCTGTTCGTCAATGTTTTATAAAAATTTTGGAGGCCAGTCTTCTTAAGTACAAGCATGCGTACATTAACGTTTAAACAAATTCTACAAACTTCACTAAATTCCATTTTCGTTTCCAATGGCTTTTTAGCTTTAATTCTCTTTTTCATCAATAATTCAAAAAAAATATCGGAGCCGGAGTTTTCAATAATATTTATCCAAATCCAATATCCATATTTTTAAAATGGCTTTACGGCTCTGGATTCTAGCCCTTCTGAGACTGTCCAACACAGAACACTAATACCCTTAGGCGCTGTCCAATATCCATTCATGAGACTATATCACAGAGTATTGAGTAAGGATGTTCGATAATCATCGATATTCGATGATAGTCGATGTCAAGAACGCAAACATCGATGTTTTAACATCGATGTTGCCACATGCCCTACATCCACAAACATCGCTGTCAATAAACCTATAATCGATTTTTGGGAACTTGCAAATCCGCGAAATCAATATCAACTAAATCTTGCATCTCCTCTAAAATATTTAAAATTTTAAATAATTCAGAATGCTTAAACGCATCGATAACCTAAAAATATATCATTATAGGGTATCAAATTTAATTATCAATTGTCAACTATAATGTCGCAGTTGTCACCGATTGCCTACCTAAAATTAAAAAGAAAACTTGCGGTGAGATATCTGACCACAATCGCTACATCAGCGCCATCTAAGTGGTTATCTACCGACTTCAAAAAGGAGGAGGTACTCAATTTCACCTGGTCCTCACCTGGCCATTTCCAAATCTTGCCCAATAAAAATGAAAAAAATACTTGAAAAAAAGGGTAAAATTACTTATGCCTCTGTGGCTAATTCAATTAAGTCATCTGATTTTCCATCTTGCACAGTCGAGCAGCATTGTTAAGACCCTACTATCAATAAGCCAAAATGTACATAAATTAAATAAAAATGTAAAAATTGTAAATAATGTTAATAAAACAGTGCCTGACCCCAACTTGAACCAAACTCAACTTAAGGCTCAAATTGCAAAAATACGGCTCCGTGGCGCAGTAGCTTAGCAATCAGTTGATGCGCTGGGGGCCGCGGGTTCGAATCCCGCACGGAACAAATATTTGTATGGCCTACAAATAATTGTTCCGGGTCTGGATGTTTGTCCTTGTGCAATTTATGTTTTTAAACTGCCTCCACGACACAGGAGAAACTACTAGTATGGCGGTAAAGTTTTAAAAAAATATAAGAATATTCTGATGGCAATGGTCCAAACTTTAGTCGAATTGGGTAATAAAACAGATAATGAACCTGTGACTACACTGTTCATTAAAGACTTACTTTTAAAAAATCTGTCACAATAATGGACAGTACAGTACAGAACATACAGCAGTTATGTATAGCTCAGTACAATATTCAAAGTATACATAAGAAAAAACCCTTATTGTCTAAATTTTTAGATGAGCAATATGTTGATATCTGTCTACTCAATGAAACTTGGCTGAAAGATACTCAGCATTTTAAAATTTCGGGATATAATTCCCACTAACATAACGCCCAAAATGAACACGGTGGAGTAGCAATTTTGATCAAACCGTATTTTAAATATAATATTATTCAAACCAGATTACCAAGACATTCAGACTATGGCATTATCGTTATATGTAAGTGGTAAACAATTAACGATTTTATGTGTATACTGCCCTCCCTCGAATGGTAACTTCAGAATAAGTAAACTGCGTGATATAATTAGAGATTTGCCTAAGCCAATATATGTGGCTGGAGATTTCAACGCAAATGTGGCATTTGGGTGTATGAGTCGGGGTCATCAGTTATACGATTTAATTGATGAATTTGATCTATGTGTCCTCAACAATGGTAGCTTCACTACTATTAATTATCCTAACCAAAATCCATCGGCTATTGATGTCAGCTTTTGTAGTGCTTCAATCACTCCACTATGCGAATGGTGGGTGCATGATGATTCTATGGGGAGCTATCATTTTCCTACGCTTACTCGTGTTTTATTGTCAGTTGATATATATCAAATTAATCCTCCCATTGAAATATTCTTATACAACAAGACAGACTGGACGAAATACAATGAGCTGTCTATAACTGCTTTTTCTAATTTTGAAGTTAATAATGAGAATCAATTACAGTCATATGACGAATTTATTGAAAGGCTTGATACACTTAGGAGGAATACAGTGCCAAAGTTTGTCAAAGCAAATAACTATCGTTGCAAACCTCCAGCACCTTGGTGGAGTGACACATGTGAACAAAGTGTTATTAAAACTTATGAAGCTTTAAAACTGTGCAGAAGAGATCCAACCATTGATAATTACATTAATTACAAAATACTTAATGCTGTTAAGAAAATGACTATTTCAGAACATAAACGCAATGGTTGGGCGAACATCTGTAATACTTTTAACAGAACTACACCTGTTAGTATTATTTGGAAATACATCAAGTTATTTAAACGAATAAAATGCAATAATAGAACATATAAAGACGAATTTGTTGTTTAGACAAATTGTCTCAAAATGGATGTAGGGTTATTGATAATCTAGAAAGTTATTTTCAAATTAATAATAGTCTTCAGAAGTCCAGTTTCCTCATATAACCCTTTACTTGGAGTGAGTTTTGTACAAGTTTACAATTCAGACGAAACACAACCCCTGGTTTAGACGATTGTCCATACATTTTGATCAAAAACCTAAATCATACCGTTCAAAAGAAACTATTAGCTAATCTTAATGCTCTTTGGCACTTAAAAAAAAAATCCTGAATCTTGGAAAACACAGTGTGTAATCTCTCTACTTAAGCTTGACAAGCCACCTGAAGATCGTAATTCATATCGTCCCATATCTTTGTCATCTTGTGTTGGAAAGCCTAATGAAAACATGATAAAGATGCGTCTTGAGTGTTATGTAGAGGCAAACAACATCATTCCACATGTTCAATATAGCTTCCGGAGAGGGCGAAGTTGTGCTGACAGCTTCATCTCCCTCTTGTCAGATCTGAAATATGCCAATAATAATAAAAAGTCCAGTGTTTGTGTTTTTCTAGATGTTGAAGGTGCGTTTGATAATGTAGATCCTGGCATTTTGGTTCAAGTTCTTTCTGACACTGGTATACCAGGCATACTTTGCCATTGGTTATTTTAATTTTTTAACAGATAAAACTTTCTATATAAGGCATAATAATATTCTCCATGGTCCCAGAAGGGTCTCCAAAGGTACAATGCAGGGGGCTACATTATTTCCATTGTTGTACAATATATATACTAGTCAAATTCTTAATTTTGTAAATATAGAAGGTGTAAATATTTTACAATTTGCAGATGATTTTGTAATATATTGTACAGACCATAATGTAGATAGAGCTGTAAATAGTATAAATAATGCTTTAGATCAATTGTACATATATTATAATGACAAGTTGGCTCTACAGATTAACCCCAACAAAAGCAAGGCCATGATTTTTAGTAAAGATTTTCCCTCTAATGGCATACTCTACAATAATCATCCAATTTCAGTTGTATCTAACCATAAATTCCTGGGTGTTGTCATTGATAACAAACTTTGTTTTGATTTGCACATCAATCACATTATAACTAACTCTCTTAAGGGCTTAAATATTATAAGATGTTTAGCTGGTGTGACTTGGGCTGCAGACCCCAAAGTTTTAAGTACGCTATATAAATCAATAGTCAGAAGCCATTTCGACTACAGTTGTTTAGCCTACTCAAATAGTAGTTGTGTAAAAAAATTAGACATAATACAAAACAAAGCTCTGCGAATTATTTCTGGGGCTATGTGTTCAACTCCCATACGAGCTATGGAAGTTGAAACCAAAATAATGCTACTGTGTCTTAGAAGACTTCTGCTAATAGAGAGATATTTACTAAAGCTGTTATCTGGTAATGATAATGTTCTCAAAAAAATAGTACATTTTCCTGTACAAGGCTCGGCCCAGTAGACTTCGGGAGGTGAGCTTTTACGAGGTTATTTCCCAGGTTTGCCTCTCATTGTACAGCAAATGAATGAAGATTTTAAAAATGAAATTAAACAATCAAAGTGGACATGCTACACATACTCATGTTCCTGAATTATATTTGAGACCAATATTGTTACCAAAAATTTTTTTAATAATAGTGAATTATTAAGTTTTTTTCCGAAAATAACTACTATACTTTGTATACAGATGTTAGCAAAAGTCAGCTCTTTGTACGCAGTGCTGTTTATGATTCCCAATTCAAGTTTGGTCAAAGTTTTCTTCTGGACCTTAAATGCAGTGTTTTCACTGCAGAGGTATATGCGACCCTCGAGGCCCTGAAGAGAATTGCACATATAAATAGTTTTAATAATTTTTTTAATTTTAACAGACAGTTTAAGTATGGCCCAAAGTTTAACCAATATCAGATTTGACTTTAAAAAAAAAACTTTATTTTGTACAATATTAAAATATTGATATTTAGTTATGCACAAAAGGATATATAGGTCTCTTTCATGTGGATTCCATCACATAACAGGAAATGAGATAGTAGATAAAATTGCACGTGATGGAACCAACATGTTGGATGTTAGCTTCATAGTAAAAGTACCTTTGACCGACTGTTATCAATCTATTGACAACCAGGTCAATAGCTTATGGGTCGAATTTTGGAAACAAGATCAAGAACAGAAGGGTAAATGGTATGGAACTGTTCAAGAAAAACTACCTGTAGCACCATGGTATAACAAACTGAAAATGGCCAGTCGGGACTTTGTTACCACTATAAATAGACTGCGCTTTGGTCACTCCACCGTCCCGGCCCACCTGGCTCGATTGGGCATAGTGGAGAGCAGCTACTGCACCTTCTGCAATAATTCTGTTGGTGATATCGAACATTTCATATTTACATGTGAGTGCTTTTCATTTGACAGATTGATTCTTGTTAGTGAAATTAGTGACATGGTGCAAAATCAAGTGACAGTGCAAGATCCCTCCCGCCACCTGAGTGATATGTTAAATAGATCCTATTACGTGCCTCTATATAAATTTATAGCGAGATGGAGTGTATGGTAGAATGTGTATGGGTCACAGTCTGGTAAAAATTAATTAAGTCCAAACGTACACAGTAAAGTTAACATTTATTCACTATAGACAGTTACACAAATTATATATAGTTCAAAATTGAAGGAGTAGAAAGCGATAGTATAAAACCAAACTATAAAAGCTAGTATTCGCGATAAAATAACGGGACACTCGGTTAGCCAGGCGACATGGGCTTCGCGTGTGAGTTCGGTAAGCAGACTGGCCAGGCAAGCGCGTTGCGAGGCGTTGAATGCACCCGCGCAAGGAACTTCGTTCTAACGGTATATGTATCGTTGTTTAGCGCGTTTCCATTGCACAACAAGGCGAATGTAAATAATCTTTTATTAAATATTTATTTTGTCTTGTGATCATTTTGTGACTATGTTATCTATGTTATTTTATGATTGTAATAGTTAGATAGAAGTAAAGATGTAAGTTTATATCGGTATAGTATAATTTAGTAAATATATATGAAATAAATTATAAGTGTATAAATGTATATGTACGTATAATATACAATAAGTAGGCTACAAATTCATCAAAAATACAGTGGGGAAATTATAATAAACCGAATAAAAAATACTCAAGACTTGGCCTAAAGGTCTAGATACCAGGCCATAAACTCCCAAAAAAAAGCAATTTATTATTTTTGACACAGAGTATCTTTTTATATTGATTTTTGAAAACTCCGATTTATATTTATTTTCATTTGATGAAAAAGAGCAATGGCCTTTAGTGAAGTTTGTAGAATTTGTTTAAACGTTAATGTACGCATGCTTGTACTTAAGAAGACTAGCCTCCAAAATTTGTATAAAACATTGACGAACAGATTTGTAAGTTTGTTTGTTGTTTTTCATTTCAAATTTATTGCAAATTGAAGTTGCGGTAATAGAGGAAGAAATACATTATAACTTGCCTGATAGTAAATGCCATTGATCATGGCTAGGCTAAAGTGCAGCGTTAAATAAAGTGACAAATACAACCAGAATTTGGAAAACAACAATTATCCTGAAATCCTGGGTCGTACTAAAATCAGTGTTATCATTGAAAATCAGTGTTATCATTGAAAATCAGTGTTATATTATATGCACCTATGTACTGGGACAAAAGCAGTGACGCCGAGGCTTAGTTGTTTGAACACTTGTTATTTTATATGTGGTAGAGCCATGCTGAAGCTATATTGTGGTTGTATCACGGATGGGTCGGCTCAATGGGGGAGGTACCATGCTCTCACAGAATACCAGCGTTAAACATCAGCTTAATACTACACTGTTAATATTCTGACCTGTTATGAGGAAAATGCTGCTGCTGCCCTACAAATGCGGAAATAATCTAAATGTTAGATGTCCAAACTCATCTGGAACTTACTTCATACTGCAGTAGATATAAAATTAAAAGGTTAAAGTTTATAACAAAACTAGCTGTTCCCCGTGACTTCGCCTGCACGTAATTTATTACGATTGGATTTCATGGGTGTAAATTTTTTGTGCGGAACCCTGATTCTTTTTCTAAAATAAAAGCTATCTGCCAGTGAAAGTCCGGTCAAAATTAGTCCAGCCGTTTTGTAGATTAACCGGAACAAACAGACAAACAGAAAGACAGACAGACAAAAATTTTAAAAATTGTGGTTTTGTTATAAGTACCGTCATATGCATATACTAAATAGCCGTTATTTCGACATTACAAACGGACACTAAAATTATTAAAGTCCATTTGAAACGTAAGTGACTGTGGCCTATTAGTTAAGGGTGCAGACTCCAATTCAAGAAAGTAGTAGTAAGTTCAAATCTGCCACTCTACTATTGTTGTAAATTACTCCTAGCGTATGCATTTTCAGTTTACTTAAAAGTTGTGATGTTAATAGTGATGCTAGTAGCATAAAGTAAAAATTTGCTTCAGTAGGATTGAATTTTGAAAGCCCGAACTTGAAAATAGCTTTGTCAGGGTCCTAAGAGTCTGAATCTACTGTTTTTAAATTTATATTGGTTATTGTCAGAGAGACACCTACGTACTTGACACTCAAAACATTTTAAATTAATTGGAAATTACACAGACAACAGATGGCGAAACATAATTCTTGAATTCACTAGGTAGTGGCAATCTGGTAATATCGGATGTCGATGGATATAGGTGGCTTAGGACTGTGTTGTTGCAGTGATGATGATTCACTAGGTGGTAAGACTTTTTTCTGTCTAGGAGTCTGTCTGGGTAGATATCATCCTCTTAACTATTTCTGCCACCAATCAGCAGCTTGTGTCCCAGCCTGAAGGACATTGAGAGCCAGTATAATAACAGGCTGTGAAGCATTACATCGTAGTCCTCAAAGGTAACGTCGCATCTGTAGCCTTTGCTTGAAGTTCATTGCAGGTGCCAGTAGCCACTTACCGACGGGTGGATTATAAGTTTGTTTGGTACTTTAATATCATAAAAAGATGATGTTGATGCAGAAAATTGTAGCCATTGATTTTTTTTTATAAAATAAGGGTGAGAAATGAGCACACAGTCCACCTGATCGTAAGTGTTCGCTGTGGCCCATAGACATCTACATCTATCTGCATTTGCAAATTAAAATGCAGATGCATTGTCAGCCATGAGGACTAGGAATGCCTCGTTTCCAGTTAAAAGGGTCTTCGGTTCTCTACACTCACCATACGAAACACAGCAGCATTAAGCTGCTATTTTACACTGGTGTTCTGTGAGAGCGTGGTGCTTCCCCAGTCGAGCCGGCCCCTTCGTGCTACAACTATACTATTAATATAGCTGCAACATGGCTCTACCATGCTTAAAACATGTTTGATTTATTTTCCATATTTATGACGAACTTTCATATTTTCAGATGGATGAGGATGAGGAGCCCATAATTGTCTGTTTCACCTGTCATGCAAGACTCATTCGTTGCAGAAGATTACAACAACAGGCTATTGAGTCAAATGCAGTTCTGGAGCAGTTTCTTGCAGGAGGGTCCACGGTATTATCCATTACATTCATTACAACTTGTAAAAGTCAACTGAACATAGGCCTACTACATTGATTAGAATTGTAAATAGTGACTGTGTGGATGAATTTCATTTAGGGTTTGTCTTATCAGAAAGGTGCTGCTGCTCATATCCTGTTTCAATTTTTCTCTGTTCCCTCTTACGACACCCACGGGACTATATGATAGTGGATATTCTTATACGGCCACCACACGGTCCATGGTATTATACATTTTATTAATCAGCTCGCAAAAGTTCAATGCTTGATGGTTCTCTCCCATTATAATGTAGTATTTGCCTTGACGATTACTGTACCTGTCTTGCGCCTTCTTTGCTGCTAATCGTTGCGATATGGGAGAATGTTTTTCTTCTGCAAACTTAAGTTTGTTCTTGTTTACTTACTTACTTTTTTGTTAGAGCTACGTTTAGTGTTTACCTTAAGTAAGTACTTACTTTCACAAAAATAATTATATAAACTGCTATATATACAATGTATATTATATATATATATATATATATATATATATATATATATACAGAATGGGGTCCCACATATATGCAATAAATTAAACCACAAGTAATACTAGTCCATAGAAGTGTAGAAAAATTAAATATTAAATTAAAACCCGTAAAATAAAAAAGTGAAATTATCAAACAAAATAAATATTAAAATAAATTCAGTAAAAGTAAACACTCTGTTTAGACAACGTACCTTGACCCCTTGGAAGAGTGGCAACGTTGCACGCGGGTGGCATGGCGGTTGGCGGCAGGCAGCGTTATTGTTTGTCGGCACGGCCTATGGTTCGTTGGACAATGTGCGACGAAATAAAAACTTACTCACTAAACTGTTTAGGTATTTTACCGCCACTTTTTTATTTCGCGAAAATGGAACTGAACGAAATAAATATTATTGCATATTAGTAGCAAAATTTAATGAAACCCTATATTTTAAAATTTTCAAAATCGTTCTTGAATGCACAAGTTACATCGCCGCATAATGTTGTCCTGAAGCTTGCTCAAAAAATTTCGTTCAGGATCCAGAGCCAGGGCTTTTAATTTGTTAAAGGCGGCAACAATACGATTGCGCAGTTCATCTTCGGTTTCGAAAATCTTTGAGTACACTTCATTTTTAATAAAGCCACATAAAAAAAAGTCTAGAGGAGTGAGGTCAAAAAAAGTAAAGTAGTTTCAATATCACGGTAAAAAATTAACGTACTTAAAACACTATTTACACACACAAAGTCAATCAACTAATGTCTATTTCACCGTAAAATAATTGTTTGACTAATTGTATTTATCTTACGATAATACGATAATTATCTTACGATAAATAATTACGATGCGCGTAGGCAGCGAAACGCACCTGTATCCTGGAACAATTGCGGTTGAACTGGAAGCTAAAGCTAAACTTCCAAATTCCAAAATGGCGAAAATAATAAAAGTAATAAATAGGGCGGCCACAAGGTGCAATAATCGTTTATCGATACTTTTCTTTTTACGTTTACTTACTTACTACATTTGAATACAAGTAATTTTGATTTTTGATTTCATAACAATCGACAAGTTATTGATATTTAAAAAAAAAGTTTATTTTTGTACAATTGAACTTACGAAACTACCGATTTGTGACTTCCTGGGAAACGGTTAAGTATGTATGACTTTTTAATTGGTTGTTTTTATGGGTTTTTTTATCATGTTAAAATAATTTATTATCTCTAAATTTACAAGAACACACTTAAACAAAAAAAGCTTTAAAGCTTAGCTTTAATACTTAGGTCGTAGTATTTTTAGGATTATCATAACAACACGATAATTCTAAAAAAAACCATACCCAAAGTGTTTAAAGCTAAACATTTTTTTTGTTTATCGTTTATTACTTACTCCCTTTGAAAGAAGCTAATCGTCGATAACAGGTGTCCTACTCTATGACAAAGGCGCGCGCGCCGTTGCGCCGTCGCCTTTGAAGTACGCCGCGTGCCTCGTGCCGCTTGTTTATGCACGCCGACAAAAGACACCGCTGTCGATCCGTCGCAATACCAATAGTTTGCACTGCGTGGCAACGTCGCTTTTTAATATTCAAGGATTCAAGTTCATTGAATCATTGACTTAGTGACCCAATTCTATAGAGGGTTCAAATATGCTTAAAATTAAAACTACTTTTTGACCTAATTACTGGGCCGATTATGTTCATCTTTTGTACATCGTCAGCAAAGGCGATAACAAGTATGTGGTTTCATTTATTGCATATATGTGGGACCCCATTCTGTATATATATATATATACATACAAATAAATAAAATTGAAGTGTCTGTTTGTAATGTCAAAATTACAGTTTTTTACTAAATGCATATGAAAGTAAATACGGTACCTATAACTAAAATACAATTTTTAAAATTTTTGTCTGTCTGTCTGTCTGTCTGTCTGTTTGTTCCGGGTAATCTCCGAAACGGCTGGACCGATTTTGACGGGACTTTCACTGGTAGATAGCTGATTTCATAAGGAGTAACTTAGGCTACATTTATTTTAGAAAAAGAATTAGGGTTCCGCGTAAAAACATAAAAACCCTAACACGCGAACGAAGTCGCGGGGAACAGCTAGTATATATATATATATATATATATATATATATATATATATATAAATTAAATATTACTGTTTAGGCATTTGATACGCCACCCAATTACGTTCGACTTAGTGTATCACCCGATGGTGTGAGGTGAGGTAAACGCCGCCGAGGGGGGGGGGGGGCACGTGCCGCTTGCAGTCGCTGTATTTTTGAGGCGGTGGTTAGGGTTGCAAGATCTGATAGGGTGCCTAAGGTGGCCTAGGTTTGGTGGTAGTTTCGGTCTTGCAATGTGCCGTCGCGACCCTGTCCCGCTTGCCAGTTTGCTCGCGGACATAAGTCCTTATGTCCGGGACGGGGGTTTGTTTAGGCATAAATATAGGCATTTGATACGCCACCCAATCACGTTCGACTCAGTGTATCACCCGATGGTGTGAGGTGAGGTAAACGCCGCCGAAGGTGAGGGCGGCCGCGTGCCGCTTGCAGTCGCTCGACGCGAGGGCTGAAGACAGGGCTTGAGTGCAGCGGCGCCGTCGTAACGTTAACGTATTTTATAGTGATCGCGGCAGCGATTTCGTGCGACCAGTTTTGGTTTTATGGTCTATATTTTTAGTATTTGTGCGCGTTACTTCGCTACTTAATTTGTGGTTTCATGAAGACCACCTCGGATTAGTTTGTCTAAGTTGTACGTTCGTGACAAGAGGCTTATTTTGAATTTGAGTGATTAGAGTAATTTCGTTGCAATTGTACCGTCGCGTTAAGAGCCTTTTGTGTGTTGACTCTTTAGTTACTTTGCGTGTCAGCTAGGTTGATTTTGAAATTTTTTTTTTTTATAGGAGAGGGGCAAACGAGCATGCGGCTCACCTGATGGTAAGTGACTACCGCCGCCCATGAACAACCGCAACACCAGGGGAATTGCAGATGCGTTGCCGGCCTTTTAAAAAGGAGTAGGCTCTTTTCTTGAAGGTCCCTAAGTCGTATCGGTCCGGAAAAATCGCTGGTGGTAAACTATTCCACAAGGAAGTTGTGCGAGGAAGAAAACATCTTCTAAATCGCACAGTGGTGGACCGCCATTCATCCAGATGGTGTGGATGGTATCGGGAGTTCTGCCGCGATATGCGTTCGTGAAATTTGGCGGCTGGGATTAATCCGAAAAATTCCTCAGAGCACTCCCCATGGTAAATGCGAAAGAAAATGCTAAGAGATGCAACATCTCTTCGCAGTGCCAATGAGTCGAGCCGATCGGAAAAGACTCGGTCGTCGACGATTCGAGCCGCTCTGCGCTGGATGCGGTCAAGTGGAAGGAGCTGGCACTGGGGAGCCCCAGCCCAGAGATGGGAACAGTATTCCATGTGAGGCCGAACCTGCGCCTTGTAAAGTTGCAGGCGTTGAGCCGGCATGAAATACTGTCCCGCTCTACTGAGCACGCCAAGCTTTTTAGAGGCCAATTTGGCCTTCTCTTCCAAGTGACCACGAAACTGCACGTTACTCGATATGTCGACGCCGAGGATTCCGATACTGGCTGAGGCAACAAGGGGAGTACCTTGAAACTGAGGAGATACGACAAAGGGGTTCTTTTTAGCGGTAAACGCGCAAACTTGTGTCTTCTGAGGATTAAACTGGACTAGATTTAGTCGCCCCCAATCCGAGACTTTGTCCAGCAAAGACTCGACTTCAGACACAAGTTTGTTCCGGTACTCGGTGACGTTTTCCCGAGAAATATTGGCACGGCCGGTGTATAGAGCATCACCAGTGCTGTCATCCGCATAGCAATGAATGCTACCGGCTTGCAACATATCATTTATATGCAGAAGAAACAGCGTTGGTGATAGCACGCAGCCTTGTGGAACACCAGCGTTAATAGGCTTGTAGTCGGAGCATGCACCGTCTACAACGACCTTGATGCTCCGATCTGCAAGAAAGCTGGTGATCCAATTGCATAATTTCTCGGGATGCCTATAGGAAGGGAGCTTCGAAAGAAGCGCTTTGTGCCAAACCCGATCGAAGGCCTTCGCAATGTCCAAACTAACGGCCAATGCCTCCCCCTTGGACTCTACTGCCTCCGCCCATCTATGAGTTAAGTATACCAGAAGATCACCAGCTCATCGACCCCGACGAAAACCGTACTGGTGGTCACTAATCAGCTGGTGATCCTCAAGCTACCGCATGAGGTGGCAGTTTATAACGGATTCCATTATTTTGGAGAACAAGGGGGTTATGGCGATAGGCCTGTAGTTGGACGGGTCTGAGCGGTCGCCTTTTTTATGGGATCGGGTAACAAATGAGCACACAGTCCACCTGATGGTAAGTGGTTGCTGCGGCCCATAGACATCTACATCTATCCTCTGTTACAAATCAAAATGTAGATGCGTTGTCACCCGTGAGGACTAAGATGGAATGCCTCATTTCCAGTAAAAAGGACCTCCGGCCAGCTGCACTCACCAAGCGAAACGCAGAGGTAAACCTCTACTTCACGCTGGTTTTCTGTGAGGTCGTGGTACTACCCCGGTTCGAGCCGGCCCATCCGTGCGACAGCAAAAGCTGCCGCGTGGCTCTACCACTATTAAGTACCATACCGCTGCCCGGTCACCTCAGCTGGGCCAGGTCACATAAATAAACACTACCAAACACCACTCACACGCACCTACACCTACCTACGACCTGACCGAGCCTTGGTGCGGTCTTAGCTTCGGATCCAGGTACGTACTATTTATTTACCTAGCCTTATGTCTATTGTGTAGTATGATAGGTCAATTGTCCATAAGGCCATTTGGGCCCGAACCCTCGGCTGCCCGTCGAGGAGGTTACTATGGGCCCTAGCCAAGGCGACCTTTACAGGGGCAGCTGGGGGCCGTAACAATTACCTATAGGTAATATTACTCAATGCACAAAGACAGATCTTTGTCAATGTATGGCATTTGTGCATCTGAATAAAAAATGTGCAAAAAATCATTGAGCCCTCTGTCTCTTTTTACGACATCTGCAGAATGGTATGGGGTAGTATGGATTCTCCTACTCCACTAGACTAGTTTTTTTTTCTTATTTAAAAAATGATTTGGTTTCAGTCAATACCAAAACCGCATGAGGCTAGAGATGAGATTCAATTCACACCAATTTGTCATATAGATATCAGGCCAGTAGAGTGTGACGTAGAAAATGATTGTAAGGACGAAATTTTTTGCCTTGATTCCGTTAAAGTTGAGGAAGACAATTTCGAAAATGAGACTTCCAAATTTGAAGAAAATGAGAATCATGATACAGGTAAGATATGCACATTTTGTGATATTATTAAAAAAAGGTACAGTTTACTAAATGGCAAGTGGTTACTGTAGCCCATAGACACAAAATAAAGCGGGCTTCATGTGCAGTATGCTGAATTGCTGATTTACCTTTGCCTAAATTCAAACCTTATTTAGATAATATTTTACTTACGTATCAATATATTTAAAAAATATTTGGGCCCTGTATAAATGCAGACAATGTTTGCCTCTAAGATGTATTAATTTCATGGGAATTAATGACATACTATATATATATAACACAAAAACTCTCCGATCACACTCTTAATCTCATGGCTGTTAGACGGGAGATGAAGCTACATTCTTCAACAGACTTGACAGCATACAGGCATCTGAACAGACAGATCTCCAAATGCATGCGGCGGGACTTACGCAACTTCAATACAGCTCGTATTGAAGAAGCGATCGAGCGGAACCAAGGCTCCAAAGTCTTTGCCAGAGATCTGTCTGCCAGAAAGAGCCAACTGTCAAAGCTGAAGACAGAATGTGGCAGCATCGTTTCCGGGACACCTGAGATTTTGAGTGAGATTGAGAGGTTCTATGGGCAGTTGTACACGTCATCGTTGGAGCCACACGCAAGTGTGAGTAACGATCCAAGAGCGAGTCTCATCCGACACTATTCCGAAGATATCCCGGACGTCAGTCTGAGCGAGATTAGAATGGCTCTCCAGCACCTTAAAAACGGCAAGGCCCCAGGCGAGGATGGAATTACAGCGGAGCTTCTGAAAGCGGGTGGAAAACCGGTACTTGAAGTCCTTCAGAAGCTCTTTAATTCCGTCCTCCATGGTGGCATTACACCGGAGGCGTGGAGCAGAAGTGCGGTGGTTTTGTTCTTCAAGAAAGGTGACAACGCTCTCTTGAAGAACTACAGACCGATTTCCCTTCTGAGCCGCGTCTACATGCTGTTTTCGAGAGTCATTACTAATCGTCTCGCGCGTAGACTTGACGACTTCCAGCCTCCCGAACAAGCCGGTTTCCGAAAGGGCTTTAGCACCATAGACCACATACATACCCTTCGGCAAATTGTACAGAAGTCCGAAGAGTACAATTTGCCACTATGTCTGGCGTATGTGGACTATGAGAAAGCCTTTGATTCCGTCGAAATTTGGGCTGTGCTGCAGTGCCTTCAGCGGTGCCAAGTTGACTGTCGGTATATCGAAGTGTTGAAGTGCTTGTACAGTAGGGCTACGATAGCTATCCGAGTACAGAACCAGAGTACGAAACCTATCCAATTGCAGAGAGGTGTAAGACAGGGTGACGTCATATCCCCGAAACTCTTCACCGCTGCATTGGAAGACGTTTTCAAGCTTCTGGACTGGAAAGGATACGGTATCAACATCAATGGCGAGTACATCACTCACCTTCGATTTGCCGACGATATAGTCCTTATGGCAGAATCGCTGGAGGACCTAAGCACTATGCTCAATGACCTCAATAGTGTTTCCCAACGGATAGGTCTTAAGATGAACATGGACAAAACTAAGATCATGTTTAATGTCCATGTCACACCTATGCCGGTAGTTATTGGGAACACTAAGCTCGAAGTTGTTGATGAGTATGTTTACCTGGGACAAATAGTCCGACTAGGTAAGTCCAACTTCGACCGAGAGGTCAATCGACGGATTCAACTCGGTTGGGCAGCGTTCGGGAAATTACGGCACATCTTCTCGTCAGGTATACCTCAAACCTTGAAAACGAGACTGTACACCCAGTGCGTGTTGCCAGTGATGACATACGGAACTGAGACGTGGTCCTTCACTGCTGGCCGAATAAGGAAGCTCAAGGTCGCTCAGCGAGCTATGGAGAGGGCTATGCTCGGAGTTTCTCTGCGTGATAAACTTAGGAATGAGGATATCCGCAGTAGAACCAGAGTAACCGACATAGCCCAACGGATTAGTAAGCTGAAGTGGCAATGGGCCGGCCATATAGCTCGAAGAACCGACAACCGATGGGGAAGAAAGGTTCTCGAGTGGCAGCCTCGTACCGGTAGGCGAAGTGTAGGGCGTCCCCCCACGAGATGGAGTGACGACCTGGTAAGACATGCAGGAAGTCGATGGATGCAGGTGGCTCAGGACCGTGCTTTGTGGCATTCTTTGGGGGAGGCCTGTGTTCAGCAGTGGACTTGTGAAGGGCTGTAATGATGATGATGATGATAATGATATACTTACAACTGGTAAGCAACCATTGTTCCGAAGAATAATTAGTTTCAATTAATAATATGTAATAATTGATTTGATTTTATTTCAAAACTAGCTGTGCCCGCGGCGTAGCTCGCGTATACAGGTTTTACATAATGAATTTGTCGTTTAGGTAAGAGAATATTAAACGATTTATTTCATTACTGTATCAATAAGTGGTAACAAAATAAATCATTATCATCAAAGTTCTAAGTCGTTTATGATAGAGCTTCTGTGTAAACGACGTTAGAAGTAGGCTTAGCCGGGGTATACACAAAAAGGTTATGGGGGCTACTAACGCGGGAAAAAGCAACATAGAGTTGGCCATGTGCAAAACAGTCAGTACTGAGGTACACTCCTACAACGCGTAAAGTTTGACCTTGCGCTTTATTTACGGTCATCGCATAACACACACTCACTGTAACTGGGAACTGAACGCGCTTAAAACTGAAAGGAAAGTTACTTCTTTGTTAGAGGGTTTTTGGGCAGTGCTGCCAGATAAAAAAACTCATTCAGCTCTAGGACATCACAAAAAGCGCTAGTTTTCATGAAAACAGCGCTTTAAAAAAGCCCTAGTTTTCGCGCTAAATTAACTACAAACAAAGTTTGTGTTTTTTTATATAATCATAATAAAGAAAACAACATTAAGTTTTTTTTCTGGCAATATTTTTTTGATGTATCAATACTTCGCAGGACATCGACTTATAATTATAGCAATTGCTATCAACAGTAGTTAGTATTGTACGAACAATAAAAATGTCATTAATTGTTTTAAAGTGCAATGTATTTCGCAACTTAGTTTCAGATGTCAGCATCTGATTGCGGTTGCTACACAGTTTCTTTGTGTTATAACTTCTAAGTAACTTTTAACTTAGCTGTTCTCTAAGCAACTGACTGAAACTGAATAAAGCAAAATAAATGCGTTGCCAAGACCATGAATGAAAAATTTAATAAAGGGGATTTCCCCGGTTATAGTCATCGGTAAAAAAATCAAGTTGATCATCCTAAAGGGGAAGCCAGGAGATCCATAGCACAGGGTATCCTAGTTTGGACTCGTCTCCCATGTTCTTTGTTTTGTGGAAAAAATATGTTTGAAAAAGATAAACTGCAATGTTACTATTTGTGGGAAAAAATAATAAAGGTCGTTATTATTATTATCGGTAATGTGGACTAACAGTGCTGCTATAAAAGAGTTAATAACCCGCTAGTCGCTAAAATATTGAAATGTGTGCTAAATACACCAAAAAGCGCAGGATTAAGCGCTAGGTGCTAAAATTTCGAAATGCGCGCTATTCATTCCAAAAAAGTGCTAAATCTAGTTCCCAAAGCGCTAAATTGGCAGTTCTGATTTTGCGTATATTTTACATACAATATCACGACATTTCGTTGCAAAATTTTTATTTTTGGTCGGGTTCCGTTGTGTACAATATTACGACATTTCGTTGCAAAATTTTTATTTTAGGTCGGGTTCCGTTGTGTGGCTTCGATGGATACAAATTTGTTCAGAAGTCTCAATATGATTCATCGGCGAAAAATCTCAACACCGCAATTCAGAAAAGTTTGTAATTTGTACAACTCCATCTATTACGTTCTTTGTGTGAGAAAACATCCTATCTCTTTTTGTGTTTTAAGTATAAATATATTAATTATTATGGAACGTTTTTTTTTTTACACAGAAATCTTTTTATTACTATTTCTGAGATTTTATGGCGCCATTGAACAAATTCGAACCTACATTTCAAAATTAATGTCTTCAAAAATTACTTTCGATAGAATTAACCAATTTTAATAAAACAAAGATTAAATGTAACTCGAAGATACGCTTTATGATATTCTTAACGATTTCTTTGAAAATAAAAGATGTTTACTTTAGACGTGATGCGTTCATGCGACAAATAGACAGACAGACAATTCTAAAAATTACAAAATGTTCTTATTTAATTATTTTCAGTTCCCCATAATGATTTTAGCCACCAAAATGTATACCTATACAATGTACAGAAAGAGACACAACATGTTATCATCATTTTTATTATATGTATATATTTAAAGAGAGATGGCGCTGCTAACATCATCAATTCTAAAAATAAAAGAGATTAATTGACGCGATTGATACATTATATAAAACGTAAAAGAACTTATAAATCAGTGCCTGCACAGTAAGCAAAAAATAAAGTTTGACTCTCGCCAAAACCAATGCAATTGTTAATAGCTCTTTTAAAATTTGATTTACCACATAGAGTACTCTGCGGTAAAGAATAAATTGAGTTTGTCAACACGCAGTAGGGCAGCGAGTAATATAATAAAGATTAGCAGTAAATATGAAAACTCATCTACAGAAAAAAAAACACATTTGCAATTGCATTACATTTTCACAACACCACCATCTATCGAAGAAATGGGTTAACTATTGTGCTTCAGATTTAGTTAATAAGGTTAATATATTTTTGTATAATATATTTAATACGTTCTTTATTACTTTTGTTTACTGCGTTTTAGATATACATAATTATATCATTATTTTACATAATTTAACTATGATTTATATGATATTAGTTTAAAATGCACTTGATGACTCAAACAAAGCCACCGTTGAGCAAATTCGTACCTATACTTCCCTACCCATACTTCAGAATATTTATCATAACTTTTGATGGAATGAACTGATTGTAATGAAATAAAGACTAAATGTAACCCGAAGATACACTTTATAATTTCCTTAACAATTCTTATGATATAAATTAGTACTTTATACGTGATACGTTAACAAACAAACAGACAGACAGACAGACAGACAGAAAATTCTAAAAATGGTAGAAATGTATTTAATTACTTATTTTTAGTACCCCTTAATCACTTTTATTACAAAAATATAAAATGTACAGACATCTGCTATTTACAGTTTTATTATATGTATAGATTAGAATATATTACTATTATCTATTTAAGATTAATTAATTATAATTATTTATAAGGATGCATTCTGATGCACCGTCACAGTACCCAACCAACTGAAGAAGGATTTTGCATAGTTTCTAGTCGTAAAATCCGTCCTAGTCTACTAGATACTGAGGAAAATATTTATTTCGTATAATTTACAAGTTTTTGGTCTTTTATTCCCGTGTAGTGACGGGTAAGAACACGCCGCGAATTATTACATTCTTGTAATAAACAATAATAAGAATTTATTTAAAAAATAATTCCTGTTACATATTCTTTATTGAATAAAATTTCATTTGAAAAATACATACTAAATTTCTCCTACAAATAGTTGCAAATTTGGAATTAATCACGATATTTTATGCTTGAATTAACCTTTTTTAAATATTTTTCCCAGATCTATTGAGTAATAAAGTGGAAATTTAAAACATTAAGAAGTAAAAGTATTCAAATACAATGTGTATTGGGGTTGAAAGAATATCCGCTAACCCAAATCGTTCCGTGGGTGTGACATCATTTTCACAATAACTAGATCCAAACTAAAAAAAAAACTGCGACTACCAACTCGCCTGCCAAAAGTAAAAAGTATGACAAATACCCCCCTTTTATGAGATTATCTGTTGGAAAGCCACTATGTTTAGTGATGTTCAGTAGTTGACTTTGATAGACTGTAATGAACGTAAGTTGGGAAACTGTTAGATATCGTCAAAACATCGTCATCTACTTGAAATTAAATGATATTTGTAAGATATGACAAAATAAATATTAACATATTAAATATTATTAGGTATTCAAGTAGGGAAATGGAATATTAATAAACTTCCAGCACGGTATAAAAAAATATGGTTCATTATAATTTCTATTATTTTAAAATTGAAATTTTCGGAGAATAACTGTGTAACTAGACACTACTAGACTAATTCTCTTATAAATTCTATTTCTTCATCGTAATCATTACACTTTTTTGTTTGCGTACAAAAAGGGTCAACCTTTTTGTAGATGTTGTAATCTGACTTCCTTGCTGCAATGGGGATCTTTGTGTTCTTTTTCCTTTTTTTAGTTTTTTTTTATGATATTCTTTTTTAATTGGTTATTCTTTATCTTCCTCTTCTTTCCTTTTTTTTCTAAAAACTTTCCTTGTGATTATTTAACAGCCTCTTGAACTTCCACATTTTTTCAGTTTCGCTGTAGAATTACTTCGTTTAATTTTTTGCAATAGTAAAGTTTCGAAAGTAACTTTTTCTGAGGCAGATAAAAGCCAATCTTCAATTATTTGGATCTTGTTTGTGTCATTCAGTAATTAAATCCCGTTCCTTGAAAAGGTAATTTGGAAGACTGCTATCGGAGTTAGTTGAGGCTTTGACTTTTTATTGTTTTCAAAATTTACTGTATTGTTTTCATTCAATGTGAACTGTGTATGCGTTTTACATTCCTGGCTACTGTTTATCTTGTGTAGTACTACTTTCAAACTGATATTTTTCAAAGTAGGAATTTCTTTTCTGGATGTTTCTAATTGTTTAAATCTTTTTAGCGGCTCAGGGTCAAATTTTTCTTCAGGAAAAGCGTCTCAGTTGAATGGGTATATGCATCCTTTTTTGAAGCCATTCCGAATAATAATTGGATTCAGTTCACGCCACACTTCTCCGTGCTCCGTAATGCGGCTAAATTCATCTTTCGGCAATTTTTTACCTCCATTTAATCGTTGCCATTGCACAAGTTTTTCGTCCCAAGTGTTTTTCATCAATTTGAAAATTGACAAATCTAACAGCTGCAATAAATGGCTTGTATGCGATGGTAACTTTATAATAGCCGCTCTGCGTTTTCGCTTCTTCTAAAATTTTCAATTGTATATGAGTGGAATGACCATCAAACATTAACAACGCTGGGGGATCTTCGTTTAAATGCGGCAGCTCAGTATTGAACATGTACTTTTCAAACACTTTTGAATCTATCAAGCCATTTTTCGTAGCTGCATAAGATGTATTTTTGTAACCTAGGTCCGACATCCATTGGTCTCATGTATTTTTTCCTCGATTGATAATTAATGGTGGCAATTTATCACCAGCGACGCTGGCAGTGAACAAGATCGTCACGTTATCTTTGTCAGATGATGCGAACATTCTGGTACTGGCATATTATACTTGCATATTTGCCACGGGCGCCAACAAGTTTTGTTCTATCTGGGTCATTTCCAAAACTTGACTCGTCAAAATTCCAAACTTTTTCTGGTCTTCCTTTTAAATCCAATTCATTCAAAACCTCTTCAAGGATATCAAAGTACTTAACTATAAAAGGGTCACATGCCACATTCCTGGACAACTCCACTGCTTGTGGCTTTTCTAACTACTGAAACGTCGATGGATACTGTAGTATCAAGTTTTATAAACCTGACATCTATGGATATCTGCGGCTATATTTGTGAGTTTTGTACATGGAATCGATAGCTGACGAGCTATTTTACGTAACAAATGCGGGATGGCAGTGTAACAAGCCTTGACGAATGAACAAATAATTATCTAACTTCAGTGCTTCAGTCTACTGTACACTCGGTGTTTTGTGAACAAGTGTTTTAGTAGTGCCAGCGATTACGTCGTAAGTATTTTAGTTTTATTTAATATTTCTTAGATTATTATACATCATAGTAAACTAAATGATTTGGGCTTTATAATTACGTATACATATCACAGTTCTAAGTGTAAAATCGAGTCATATTTCAAATTCAAATTATAACTCTTTTAAAAAATGGCCGTTGTGTAGTCCTCGGCCCAATTTTAGTTTTTTTTTTTTACTTTGTTTTTCAGTAAAATTATATTTAAGCAACGAGTGCTAGTTCGTAATAAATATAATAATGCACTTTAAAAACAGAATTAAACTATATTCACTGAAGATTCCTTAAAAATGTTATTGTGTTCCTCAGGTCTTTTGTTGTGGATAGTTTGGTATCCATAGACGTAACCACAATGGTTCTAAATAAGGGTCGGTACAAATAGCAAAATATGTTTGCAATATTTTTTGCAGCCTGGGTTTTGGTTGGTTTGGGTTATGAGATATTTTTTCGCTTGGTGTTTCGTCATGCTCTTATGTCATAGTTTTTGATCTTGTGTGATAATAATGTTATTTTTGTTTACGATTGTCGACTTTTACTCTATTTTTTATTTAACTTCACTTTACTTATGTGGAGGATGTGTTCTACGATTTCAACTCACTTGATTTTCCTTGTTATGTATTGACAATAATTTAATTCTCATATTTAATAAAAATTATTCATTTTTCGATATATGATTTTCGCTTGGCACCACTGCGCAATGTCTGGCGCCTGTTTAGAAGTTGTCGTATTTTTTTTGCGTATATCTCTTCATGAAGAAAGCTATATAAAAAAAAAATGGATTTCGAAAAAAAAATCCTAGGGTTTTAAAAAAAAATGTTATCAGTTGATAAAAAGGATCTATACTGCCAAAAATAATAGCTTCTATTAAAAACCGACGCCAGAGATTGCACCGTACTTACCTACTCATTTAAAATAAGTCTATTTCAAGTTGATGCGGGTAATTTTTAATGCTTCTTTACCACATTATTATTGTTTCTTTCCTTGATGATATTGATGGTTTAAATTTATACATACAACAATTTTAGATCACCGACCGAAACTAACTTGGCTCGTGGTTTTGAAGTCTTTCTGCTCCTTTGTCAAAGGCCAATTCTGGTCACATTCACAGAGATAAATTCTACTGAAAGTTAAGGTCAATTTGAAATTGAAGTAAACAATTTATTTATGCATAATTTATTTCAGGAAACAATATGGTAACCGAAACTGATGACGAAGTAACTGTGACGCCTTCCACTAGTGAACAGCGTACTTTGATTGGTACGTATTATTCACTCTAGAAATCAAACATAGAAAACAACGAATTGTTAACAGTAACTTTTTTTTTAGGGGTTACTGACAAGAATTTCGACGAGGTCATTGGCGACTGGATGGAACTGAACGATAATCTAAGTGACTGTGACATGGATACAGAAAACGAGGACTACTTTTTCCCTGTCATGACCTCACGCAACGCTACGGCGGAGCCTGCGACTGACACTGATATGACGTTGTACGAAGCTCGTGTACTAGAGACAGAAGATCGACGAAACGACCTAGCAATCAGGGCGATCGCACCACATGACTATTACAATTTTGAGTGGAAAAGAGACAAACAGACTTTTATAGGACGACGGGAAAATTTTACCGGGACTCCAGGAGCGACATTTTCAATTACAGACCAGACTAGTGTCGTCGAGATTTTTTATAAAATGATCGACACCGACTTCATAGACAGAATTTGCACAGAGACTAACAGATATGCCGACCAGAAAATAAAATTATTGAAAGGCCAGAAAGAATTCGTACCGACTTTGAGACTGCACCAATGGACACCGACGGACAGGGACGAAATGGTCAGTTTTCTGGCCATAACAATTCTTCAAGGGATATACCCCCTACCGAAAGAGGAGTCCTATTTTAGTTTTAATGGTTTTGCCACTATGCCTTACTTCCGAAAAATAATGTCTTATAATAGATTTTTATTATTAAAGTCGCTGATCCATTTTGTTGATAATGAGACAATTACAGAACCAAACAAACTGTGCAAAATTCAAATGGTGACTGACTATTTCAACGAAAAGTTCTCGCATTTATATTATCCTTCCCAGGAGGTTGTCATTGACGAATCCCTTCTGAAGTGGCACGGGCGACTAGGCTTCGCTCAGAAGATTTCGTCCAAAGCTGCGCAAGTCGGAGTTAAGACTTATGAGCTTTGTGAGGCTTCCTCTGGTTATCTGTGGAAGTTTCTTATTTATGCGGGAAAAGAAAAGACTGGAACTGCGCCTGCAACAGCAACATCTGACGAAACTAACCCTACTGACACTGACGAAAGACCTGATGACACAGACACGACTGAACATGTCATAACTGGCAGTAGCGATGTACGTCCCAGCAATGCTACTGCCAAAATAGTTTACGACTTAGTAGAACCTCTACTTCACCGCGGACACACGTTAATAATGGACAATTTTTACAATAGTCCATTATTAGCGCGGTGTCTGAAACGACAACAAACAGATAGCTTTGGAACCTTACGACTGAGTCGGGAATTCGTTCCCGATTCATTGAAGACAATAACAAAGACGCAACTAAGACAAGGTGAAGTATTGGCAAGCTACTGTTCCGATTTGTCGGTAATCGTATGGCGAGATGCTAACCTAGTTAGTATGCTCTCGACATACCATGCCCTCCAGATTGGTACGCGACAAAAATATGACCGATTAACATACAAGCCAAAGGTTGTCCTGGACTACAACAAGTGCATGGGAGGAGTGGACAGGAAAGACCAGTTCTTGTCTGCCCAGCCCATGGAACGTGTACGAAATAAAATTTGGTACAAAAAGGTATTTCGTCGTCTCTTTAACTGTGCCATTTTTAATTGTTTCATATTATTCAAAACTGCCAATCCAAATGTATCACATAGACAGTTCAGGACCACTTTGGCGGAAGACTTACTAAAGTTACACCGACATATTGACCTCACAACAGAACCACGACTTGTGAATTTAAGAACCGGACTGACGAAAAGGTCAAAGACAACTACGACCAGCAGACCTAAAGTCGAACATCGACATTTTCCAATCAAAACCGGCTTTAAGCAAAGTCGCTGTTGGTTGTGCGCCCGGCGAAAAGTTGCAGCCAGAACTATTTGGAAGTGCCTAGAATGTGATAAAAATCTATGCATTAATGGTTGCTTTATAGAGTACCACACATAATTTATTGTTTTATTTATTTATTTTAGTTTTAAGTACTTTTTTTTAAATATTTAGTTAGTAATAAATTTGTTTAAAAAGTGGATGATAATGATATGGTTTTGTGAAAAAAAAATTTATTATGTCAATAAACTGTACATTGATTTTATTATTGGTGTTTAATTTAAAGCCTCAACTAAACAAAACTCATAACAACCTTTTTAAAGTTGCTTAAATTACAAAGTGTGAATGAGACCTTAGATAGGCGGCCATCTTGCTTATATTTTGCCTATGCGAGCGAGTCGAAAGCGCTCGAGACCTCGCGGTAAAATTACGAGGAGTGGGTGTTTTGTTTCGATTTATTTAACTACTTAGTCTTAATTAAACAAAAACACCTATGCATCATAAGAAACGTAAATATGTCTAGTTTTTTGTGACATTGAATTATTTGTAAAAAAAATACAATATTTCTTCGTTGTGATGTAAATTAATAAAATTTATACGTTTATTTTTCTCCGAATTCAATATTCACACCAATTTTTAATATCTTAAATTATTATTTTAGATCATAAAACATACATAGGTTTAATTTGTATTCTTCTATGAATTTTTCGTAGTTTTTTCTTTTATTCTAGCCATTACAGTTAAGTAGCTATGTAGGTTTTTTTTGTTACAACATGCGAGCGCGGCAGCAGTATCTGGACGTACAAGGGTACAACAATCGCACGGGCTGGACGCTTGAGTGGTTAAGGACACTTTGTGTCTATTTTTTGAATATAGTAAACCAATCATATTCAGGTCGGTTGTTTTTAAATGGGGTTAAGTAATTGTTTGACTCACGTGTACGCTAACTAAATCGAGTGTTTCTTTAGAAGTAAGACCGAACCGGTATTTTTCCATAACTCGCAGACCATTTGAGCTCATTATCTCTTTCAATCGCGGTAGGTGGTCCACGAGTCCACGACTCTCTTTTTCGACACCTCTTTTGTTATTCACTCTATCACATATATTCGTACGAGGAATATTGTATTTTTGCAGCTCTGTAAGAGTTTATTTTGCCAGTTCAAAACAAGTTGAAAGCGTTACTTTGTTTCGTATCTTTTGTTTTCTCCTTCAAAAGTGGGCACTGATTACGGTAGTAACCAATTTCCTTACAACGATGACAAGTTTTTTTTTTATATAGGATAGGGTGACAAACGAGCACATACACATCCACCTGATGGTAAGTGGTTGCTGTGGCCCATAGACATCTACATCTAACCTCGTTTGTGGATCAAAATGCAGATGCGTTGTCACCCGTGAGGACTAAGATGGAACGCCTCTTTTCCAGTAAAACGGGTCTCCGGTTATCTACACTCACCATACGAAACACAGCAGCGTTAAGCTGCTATTTTACGCTGGTATTCTGTGAGAGCGTGGCCCTTCCCCGGTCGAGCCGACCCATTCGTGCTACAACTATACTACTAATATTGCTGCAGCATGGCTCTACCACGTAAAAGTTATTGTTTTTGTGTTGTTGCCATTTGATGATATTGACGTTTTCGGCGACTGTCCGCCATGTTTACTAGTGCCACGTCGATTTTCTATGTAATTTTGCTGCTTTTTTATATTATTCTAAGCTAGAGCTTAACTACAATCTCACTTGATGGTAAGTGGTGATGTAACCTAAGATGGTGAGGCGCACTGACTTAACAAATGCCTATTCACTCTTGCCTTGAAGACGTCCACATTATACTCGGATGGAAACACAGATGCTGGCAACTTATTCCATTCTTTTGCTGTAGGCATGTTGAACGATGTAGCAAACCGTTTGGTTCGAATGTGTGGTAAGTCAACAACGAAGAATTAACAGTGGTAGAGCCACACGGCAGCTTTTGCTGTCACGCGGATGGGCCGGTTCGAACCGGGGTGGTACCACGACCTCACAGAAAACCAGCGTGAAGTAGAGGTTTACCTGGGTGTTTTGTTTCGATTTATTTAACTACTTAGTCTTAATTAGACATAAACACCTATGCATCATAAGAAACGTAAATATGTCTAGTTTTTTGTGACATTGAATTATTTGTAAAAAAAATACAATATTTCTTCGTTGTGATGTAAATTAATAAAATTTATACGTTTATTTTTCTCCGAATTCAATATTCACACCAATTTTTAATATCTTAAATTATTATTTTAGATCATAAAACAAACATAGGTTTAATTTGTATTCTTCTATCAATTTTTCGTAGTTTTTTCTTTTATTCTAGCCATTATAGTTAAGTAGCTATGTAGGTTTTTTTTTGTTACAACATGCGAGCGCGGTAGCAGTATCTGGACGTACAAGGGTACAACAATCGCACGGGTTGGACGCTTGAGTGGTTAAGGACACTTTGTGTCTATTTTTTGAATATAGTAAACCAATCATATTCAGGTCGGTTGTTTTTAAATGGGGTTAAGTAATTGTTCGACTCACGTGTACGCTAACTAAATCAAGTGTTTCTTTAGAAGTAAGACCGAACCGGTATTTTTCCATAACCCGCAAACCATTTGAGCTCATTATCTCTTTCAATCGCGGTAGGTGGTCCACGACTCTCTTTTTCGACACATCTTTTGTTATTCACTCTATCCATGAAGCAAATACAAAGAGGAGACGTTGTAATTAAATTTCACTATGTAACAACGCGTGACAATTTGCGGGGTGAGGGGATGCAAAGCCCCGCCCACTACACTATCTACATCTACCGATAAATAGTAAATCTACTCGAATCTTTCCATATCGATGTTGCAATGTAGCTTAGCTACCTTGACGGTAGATGGCGACATGTCCACAAAATGTTATAAACTAAAAAATAATATTTTGGCGATTATAATTTCATTATGTCTGAATGCAAAACAAATTTCAGCACCTTCGTATGATTATTTTATCATTACTGAGCTCTACGTACCTTTATATTTTTAGTTCACAGGACACAAAGTGTCGCCATCTAGTGTCAAATATATTTAATTATATTTGAAAGCCGATGCCATGAGATTTTTCTAGAACTATTTTAATAAATTAGGTGTAAAATTATTTACAAATGAAATGTGATGCCATCCATAACATCAGAGCGTATATCTGAGTAGTTTTTACACGATAAAACACAACACTTCATCCTTTTCTTATTACTACGAAAATACACCGATTTGCGTTTTTTTCAACACATAAGCGCACAGGACGAATGCTGACAGTATACTAACTAAAGCCACGCCCACTATGATGACGTCAGAACCTACTTAGAATCACAGTGCATAGTTGCTTATGCCGTCTCCCCTTTGTATTAGCTTCATGACTCTATCACAGAATCACAGATAGTCGTACGAGGAATATTGTATTTTTGCCAGTTCAAAACAAGTTGAAAGCGTTACTTTGTTTCGTATTTTTTGTTTTCTCCTTCAAAAGTGAGCACTGATTACGGTAGTAACCAATTTCCTTACAACGATGACAAGTTTTTTTTATAGGATAGGGTGACAAACGAGCACACACACATCCACCTGATGGTAAGTGGTTGGCTGTAGCCCATAGACATCTACATCTAACCTCGTTTGTGGATCAAAATGCAGATGCGTTGTCAGCCGTGAGGACTAAGATGGAACGCCTCTTTTCCAGTAAAACGGGTCTCCGGTTCTCTACACTCACCATACGAAACACAGCAGTGTTAAGCTGCTATTTTACGCTGGTATTCTGTGAGAGCGTGGTCCTTCCCCGGTCGAGCCGACCCATTCGTGCTACAACTACACTACTAATATTGCTGCAGCATGGCTCTACCCCGTAAAAGTTATTGTTTTTGTGTTGTTGCCATTTGATGATATTGAAGTTTTCGGCGACTGTCCGCCATGTTTACTAGTGCCACGTCGATTTTCTATGTAATTTTGCTTCTTTTTTATATTATTCTAAGCTAGAGCTTAACTACAATCCCACTTGATGGTAAGTGGTGATGTAACCTAAGATGGTGAGGCGTACTGACTTAACAAATGCCTATTCACTCTTGCCTAGAAGACGTCCACATTATACTCGTATGGAAACACAGATGCTGGCAACTTATTCCATTCCTTTGCTGTACGCATGCTGAACGACGTGGCGAACCGTTTGGTTCGAATGTGTGGTAAGTCAACAACGAATGAGTGGAGACTGGCCGAACGTCTGGTTGTCCGATGGTGGAAGGGAGAGAGAGGAATTAAATTATGCAATTCCTGCTACTGAATTATGCAATTTATGCTAATACTGAGTTATGTTCCGATTCACTTCCATATCAAGTAATTTCGACTTGATCGAATCTGCCGTTATTTGAATCTCGGAATGTTCTATAGCCATTATCATAGACATAAATCGCTCTGGTAATCCGGCAAGTAACAATGAACCAACCCATTCATCATTTATCTGAAGTTGTTCTGTTCCGTTTAAACGTTGAGACGTTTCAACAGTTTGTGTCACATAGTTCGTTATATTTTTACACGTCGAAGCAACGTAATCCTCCGAGAAAATCCTGAATCGTCGAACAAAGAACGTAGTTCTGTCAACAATTCGCATTTGATGTGTTCTTTATGTGCACGAAGAGCGATGAATCAATCGTCAAAATCGGCTTGTCTTTGTATCTGCCGCCGCTGCATTATCATCCGTTCCTTCGTCCTTTAGGTACTTGTCGGCGCCCTCCAAAATTAGCAAGTTCTCAACTGCGAACGTCCAATCGTCGAAGTTCTCGCGACCTTTCAACTTTGGCACGTTAGCGAGATAACTGGAACTCATTTTCAGCTTACGCGACATGAAAAAACTCTAATTAAACTGTTTTTACAACTTAACAGGATCTGGGCCCATAACCTCTAAGTAAAACACGTTGCTGCAGGCTAACGACTGACTTTTATATTTTGACAAAAAGAACACTTGACATGACATTGACAGTTTAGTTCACATAATTATCAACAGATGTCTCTATGTACTATTTTTTATTTTATTTCATTTTTTGTAACAGTTTTCTGCCCCGTAGTAGTTTCTTGTGGAATCGACTACCAATGATACAATTTAGGGATCTTTAAGAAAAGAGTCTACTCTTTATTATAAGACAACGCATCTGAAATTCTCTAGGTCGCAGTTGTTCATGGGCGGCGGTAGTCACTATCAGGTGAGCCGCATGCTCGTTTGCCCCTCTCA